GGTTAACGGCAGGAAACTCGGGCGACTCAAGAATGACTGGCCGGGCGTCAAGAGAGGGAAGACGACGCAGCTGAAAGTCAACCGCTGTAAACGGCATTAGATAACCATCATCTAGCATGTACTAGAAATTTTACTTTCTCTTTCATCTCGCTTTCCCTAATTCCCGTTCCATTTGATCAAGACGGATCATTTGGGAAGCGACCTACGGCTCTTCATAAGGGGGTAGGCGGTTAATTGCCTGGGAAGATGTGGCTCCTCACCGCAGCGCGATCGTCGGCATTGGATGCGGTCGTTAGGCAGGATACCTGGCAAAGGGTCGTCAAGATAATTGGATGTAGTCAAGTTCAATGGAAGTGGGCGTGAGGGCGCGCAATCGACTGGAATGACTCGAGACTGTGATAGAGTAAACTAAATCCATTTACGATGAGGAGCCTAGGAGTCGGAAGCGCAGATATATTTTTCTTTGAAGAGAGAAAAAAATTGCGCTCTTAACTCCTAATCGTAAATTATCTAGTTTACTCTATTTAGCTATTTGAATAGCCATGGTTATTACCACTATTACTGGTAATACCAATATAACCATTATGGTTTCATTATCATTATCAAGTAATCGTGCCTCTACAGTTGTTACTAGCCTTACATACCACCATACATGCCCACAACTATACACACGCGAAATAATACAAAGATCCTTCACTGCCCTAAGTTCACTAATTAGCCGCGGAAAAGGGCTCTGGGAACAGTTGGGAAACAGTGCAGCACATGGAGGAACTGGGCACGTTCCCACGGTCTCCTAGTGGCAGTGCGAAAGCTTATCTTAAGAACTCACTTGCACCTCTTCGGGCTGGTCGGTGATAGCACCTTTCAGCTCCTTCATGTCTTTGTTTCACTGAATTCCAGAGCGCTGAACTCTTAAAAATCTTTTCCTCGTCGGATTTCCTTAAGCCCTTTTCCTTCCACGGTTATGATTTTGGTGTCATTTTCTTTTTTCTCATTATCACCTTTTTCTTCAACAATGTATATAAATAATATGTTTGCTCTAAATGTCTTTTCTTTTCTTTTCATTTTCATCTTTTTCTGTTGTTCTTTTTCTGGCAAGGTTAACAACCAACCAGTCAGCCTCTCATTTGTTATTAAACGCTAATATAAATGTATCAAATACAAGAATTTATTTCTGTACCCATATAAAAAATCCAAATCAACGCGAGCCTTTTCAGTGCTGCTTCAGTGACAGCTGCTCCACCTGGTGTTCCCGCTCAATGACCAGTGTGGGAAGTTCCTGGCAACCAGCGTGGGTACGTGACCCCCGCCCCCACCTGAGGTCTTCACCTCTAACGGGGGAGGAGGTTCTCCAAACATCGGTTAAGCATGTGAAATATCAACAATGAAGGTAGCTCAGCTTCTACATCTCTAAGGCGCCCACGTCCAACGCCCATCTTGAAGGTGGTGGGCAAACATGGCGTGCAGGAATGTCAGGACATCGATTTGTTTTATATAATGTGAAACCTTCATTTTCTGACCTCTGTCACTTCAACAATCATTCAGGGGATTATCTTTCCTCTTTGTAATGTAATTTCACGGAATCGTCAAGAAAAATGCGGTGAGAACCTAATGTTATTTGGCATCAAAAAGTGATCGTGCTGATGCCCTGTGTCAGTAACCTTCGTCTTCACGAAAGGAATGGAGACTTGTGTGCCTTCACGAATGGTGAGAACCT